CCCGGGCCCCTCTCCGGGCCTCGGACGCAGCTCAGTGACCCGCGGCAGCCCCGGACGTTCCTGTGCCTCCACACGGCCCGCTGGTTCCTCAGTCTCTGTTCCAGGTCCTCCTCTCCTCTCTCTTACGGAGGTACAAGTCAATTCACGGTGACCCTAATTACCACGACCTCATCTTCACGCGATCGAGTCCCCAAACACCCTGTTTCCAAATAATATAACAAGGGTTGGGACTCAAATCCTTTTGGGGGGCAGAGCACAATGATTCAATCCATTACAAACCTTGTGTTGCAAAACCTTGTGCTATCAGAGGACTTTGCATTATGACCTCTTTCTACTCTGTTTAGAGCGAACCCTTTACAAATACACGGATACATAGAGCACAAGTTGGCAAGAGAATAAATTCAGCCTTGAGGCCTATCACACTACTGAATAGTAACTGTTTAAAACATTTCTAGAAAGTTTAAATAAAAAACGTATTTTTGTTAGTTTACTGAGATGCGTTGCCACTTTAAGAAGTATACTCAGTCCCATCGGTGAGGCTCAGTGGTTGAGCATCGACCCCTGCACCAAGAGGTCGCTGGTTCGATTCCCAGTCAGGGCACATGCCCGGGTTGTGGGTCCGATCCCCAGTGCGGGGCATGCAGGAGGAGGCCAATTGATGTTCTCTCTCATCAATGTTTTTCTCTCTGTCCCTCCCTTCTAAAAATCAATGAAGAAAAATTATTTAAAGAAAAAGAAATATACTCAAATTTTAAGTCCTCCTTTAACATTTCAAATAAAAGTCTTTCCCCCCCTAAAAATATTCAAACACTATTTCTGCATCGCAGATTTCAGAAAGTCTGGCACCCAATTATTCATGGTTTGATTTCTTAGAACAGTTCTGTGTAACAGAATAGCATATGGTATAATTTCAGAGTGACACATCAAAGGTAATTTCTTTATGTAAATTCTGAAAGTAAAGCAAAAGTTCATTTTCTTAATATACAGGAATCAGCAATGACAAGGATGCCTCCCTAGCAAACCGTTTTCCATCTGACACTCATATATGTTAATTGTTCATAAAACTTGAAAACGACTTTGTAAATTCTTGCATATATAGCAGTGAGTTCTAAAAGTGCTTTCTGGGGCTTGATGGGTTTGAGGGGCTCTCCTTGGTGGGCTCAGAAGAAGGGGACAGAGGTCACTAATGCTTTACAGTATGACATGCGGGGCCCAGCGCCGCACAGAGGCAGCCAGCTGGAGGGGCAGCGAGCTGGTGGGGACAGTGGTGAAGGGCAGAGTGCTGACCCAGCACATGTGGTGGCTTTTGTTCTCAAGCCGTCCATTTCTAGAGTTTACCAGTCTTTTGTGAGTGGTCAAACCAGGACACATTACACATGTCGCACTTAACTGTAGACACTCAAATTGACGGTTAATCGGGTTATACATTTTCCTTCAGCTGTGAAAATACATAACCTGACTAACTGGAACCTTTGTGTCCAATGTCCCAAGTCAAAGAAGCCTCTTTTGGGGCTGGTACATGAGCCACATTCAACCGGAGCGGAGCCAGCTCGGCCACGACTAGGGTGCCTGAGTGGGGGTGAATCTCCTGGACCATCGTCACCTCGGAGACACCGGGCTGCCGGAACACGCCAGGTCATCAGGTCTCACCCAGTTGTGCTCAAGTCCCTTCTGTCTTTGATTTCCTTGGCATGCCAACCTGATAATCGTGCCCAAATTTTGCCCAATTCATGTAATATTTTCATGAGAGGGTGCACCTGAAGATTTGGTATTTTTATTTAATGTGACTGTGTGAAGGGCATTAAAGATTTAAAGTCTCATTATGCTGTCCCTGCCACACGGCACTTTACTCTCTCTAAAGAACTCGCTTCAAAATCCCAACAGTTCAGATCACAGAAGGCCTCTAGACTCTGGGTTGTTGTTGTTGCTGTTTTAACGATTTCTTCCAAATCTCTTAGCAGGATAGCTCAGAACCAGATGGTCATAAACCAGCAGCTCTATCCCACAGTGACTGAGTCAGCTAGAAACACAAGTTGTTCCAACTTCATTCAAGTTGTCTTTTGTACCAAACAATCAGCAAACAGAAGCGTCTCCCGTTATTCCCAAGGAAACAGACTGCTCCTGAAAGTGCTGGACCCGTATCAATGGAGACCGAAGTCCTGGTGTTTACATGCAGTTGTCGGATCCCGTGCTAATCGCATGTTTCATTTTCTAAGAAGCTGCCAACCACGTTCCAGACCGGCTGCAGCATTTTACTTTCCCACCTGCAGTGTACCAGTGACCCAGCTGCTCCCAAACCTCCCAAGTATTTGGTGGTGCCACTATTTTTCATTCCAGCCCTTCTGCTAGGTGCGTATGGATCTCTTGTTGTCGTTTTATTTTTGGCATCTTTTTATTTTTTATTTACTTTTATTTTTTATCTTTATTGTTGAAAGTATTACAGATGCCCCCCCCCTTTTAATTCGCACTTACTTTCCTGAGGACTCACTTAAAAAAATGGATACATTCATGTGCACATCATATGCACGTAGTTCCATGTACATGGGGTCATTCATAAGCTGGGCCTTTTCCCCTGTGCCTGTTATTTTCTTACTTCTCCCATGTTGCTCGTCTTTCCCCCAAGTCTTCCTTTTCCATCCACCTCATTATCATCCTCCTTCACCTGGTAACACCTGCTACAAACACACACACACACACACACACACACACACACACACACTCTTTTTCTCATTATTTATTTCACAAAATGTGATTGTTCAGTATCTACTTTGCTGGTTGTATTGCCTGAAGAACTCAACTTCACAGAAATGTCTTTGAGTTAATTGCTTAATGAGAATTCTCCCTAGTGGTTGCATATTATTTTAGGATAAGAATATACCATGATATGTTCAACTATTTCCTTGGGAGGCATTCTCTGGTTTCTAATTTAGTTGTCATTACACACAATGTGTTTAAACCTAAGTGCTCACGGGCTGGTACTTGTGTCCTTACGGGATATGATCCAAAGAGGTTCCCTGAGTCAAGGGTGTGCGTATTTACTTCGTGGCCAGTTTTCTCGAAAAACTTAACTGAAACAACTCACGTTCCCGGGAGCCATTTCGAGAGAGCACTTTGACCCGTGATTGCATTAGAAATAAATGTCAGACCTCCTCAATCTTGGCTTGAATCTTCCTGCTAGTTTGATTTTCAAATCCCTGACTGCTTAATAGTTTGTCTTTTAATTTGCAAGAAAAATACCCCAATTCCTGGTTGCGTTCCAAGTCCCTTCTTTTGTTCCATCGGCATGTGCCACGAAGAGGCTGGTTAAAAATCATGCCATTGTTTCTTAAGCATCATCTCTCACTTGTTTCGCGCACACTGTCGCATCTGCCTATCAAATGTGGTTTGAACAAGACAAACAATGCTTTCCTGCAGGTCCCCATTTAAACAAGCGTCCCTCTGTCTTTATTTTTGGATCTAGCTGTAGCCTGACTCTACAGAAATTCTTACGTTGGACATTAAGGCCATTTTCTTTTAACACAAAGAACCCTTCATTTCCCCAAAGAATCTCACATGAGCCACAAAACCACCCCGGCTGCAGAAATAAAAAAAATAAAAATGAAAATAAATGTTCAAAAGGTTTTCACGTCAGACTTGCGGGTTACAGCTCTGAGCCTGTATTTCTGACTCCCGTCGGAACATAATTCGAGGTCGTTCTTGTCTGAAATAACAGACTCCAGTGCTGTCCATGTGTCCCCGACGTGGCTCAGCACAACCTCAAAAAGGTACAGTGCTGAAGGTGGAACTCGAAGCACCCCACCCACGGTGAAAATTATTCCGTATCTCTTTCGGAAAACCAATTTTCTGATTGTCATTGGTTTTCATCTGGGACATTATTTCAGTGCTCAGAAAAAACTGAGGTGGTGATAGACAGTCTGAAGACAGTTCTAAGAAGGTACACATACTTGTGACTACTACTATCTAATCCTGGCAAGGTTGGGACGGGAACTGTTACAGAATGAGGATTTATATGACCAGCTAACAGACTTCTGTGCACTCCAAAAAGGCCATTTTAAATGCTGAAATAGAGTCAGGTGACAGGTAAAGAAACGTGCAGAGAAGGGAATGAGGCCCCGTGGAAAGAGGGACACTGATCAATTCTAATTGTGTACTGGCACTGCGGTAATGTAGGTGAGGAGGTGTGAGCACTTTCATTCAGGCAAAGTGACATGATTGGTTTTAGAATAATATAGCCTGGTATTATTTATTCCTATAAACTTTAACTATAAATCAGGAAGGTTTATTTTTTCTTAAAGTGCTCAACAAAGCTTCTCCTAAATACTTAGCTGTTATTTTAAATGTACCTTCCGAGCTTAGTGCTTTCTGCTCCCATCCATTATGAAATGAATGCACCATTTCATTAAGCAAAATCTTGAAAAAAAATTATAAGCCAAGTAATACATTACATAGCACAGGAATTGCAAAATAAAAAAAAAACAAAAACCTGCAAGTTCAGACAAGAAACTTCAATACTTATGAGTTGGGATGCTCGAATCCAATCTGAAATGTATTTCCTTTAGGACGAGAATCCAGGAAAGCAACCAATTGCTCCAAGTTGTGTTTGGAAGAGGCTGAGACAGGCTGAGCCACGCTACACTCCTGCAAGGCAGCATTATTCCTGCCTTACCAAACGCCTCCAGCCGCACCGGCAAGAATCAGAATATGTGCCCTAACCTTGCCCTGAGGACACCTCCCAGGCACTGTTACTAATTCTCCAAGCTTCAGTGGAAACCTTAACAGTCCTCCGACCACCCGGGAGCAAAATCCATACACAGACATAATAAACAAGCACCAGAAACATCTATGAAAATCGCAATGTTGAGCTTCTTTACAATCAAGTCTTCTATGGTGCGTTCTCATCACAATGCGCCACCCTATTCAGCGCCGGCTCTCAATCCATCTGGGCCCGTTTCAGAAGCAGCTCCGTCTCCTTAAGCTGTAGACGGGCTATAATTGCTTACCTGACTCGCAGGCAAATGTCTTGGATGTTTCATCATGAAAGATAATTGCCACGGCATGCTTCTTGGTCTCTCGGGGCAGTCTGGTTATATTTTTGATGTTGTGCAGTTCAGTTACCTTGAAAGAAAAATATGTTTTAACTTAGTGTACAGCATATGCTACATACCGAGGTGCTCAAACGAAACGGTCAGTTACTACTCTCTTAACGCACTTTCCAGTGGATATCCGTTCCCCTTTCTAATGAACTGCAGCCAAGAATGATACAGAACCAAGCAAAATGTCGTCTATTCTGCCCTCAATTTTGGCCAGTGTTAGCTGAATTTTGAAATAGTTTAAATTATGTATAAGACTAGCTCTGTGAAGGCAGGGATTCTGTGCTTTCATTAAAATTCTATCTTCTGCAGTGTGGTGATTGCAGGAGGAGAGGGCATGGGTGTAGGTGGACGAGGGTCCGGGGGGATAAATAGTGATGGAGAAAAATAAATCTTCTGCAAACAGCATTTGTGGAGCACAGGTTTTCAATCAATTTTTGTTAAATATTGATTGGATTTAATATCTCACCTCTCTCCCACCCAAGTGGTTGGTAGGGCTATAGTCACAGTGCAACGGACACCTGTTGATTGACAGACAAAATGACTCTAAATGATGGTGTCACTAAATCTAAGCAATGGATGTGACTCAGAAAAATGCTTACTCCTTTGTTGATGCTTTTCCTTTCTTTGTATAGCTCTTTCTGCCTAACCTACATTATTTTCCTTCCGTGAAAAATAAGTTCTTTTCACAGTTCTTATAAATCGGGTCTACTGGCAACAAATTCTTTCACTTTTATTTGTCTGATAAATCTTAAATTTGCTTCACTGTTGAAGGATAATTTTGTAGGGTACAGAATTCTAGGTTGGAGGGTTTTTCTTCTCTCATATTAAATAGTTTTCTCAACTGTCTTTCTTCAATGACTTCTGAGGAAGCAATGGATGTAATTCTCTTTGTTCTTCTCTAGGTAAGGTGTTTTTCCCCTCTGGCGTCTTTCAGGATTTCTTTCTTTATCTTTGATTTCCTAAGGTTAGAAAATGATATGCCCAGGTGTAGTTATTTATTTATTTTGGGGGGTTATCTTGCTTGGTGTTCACTGGGCTTCCTGAACCTGTGGTTTTGTGTCTGTCATTAATTTGGGGAAAACTGCTGGTCACTATTGTTTCAAATATTTCTTCTGTTACATTTCTCTTCTCCTTCTGTTATTCCCATTGTGTATGTATCATACCTCTCATAGTTGTCCCACAGTCCTTGGATATTCTGGGTTGTTTTTTGTCTTCAATTTTGGAGATTTCTATTGAGATATCTTCAAGATCGTAGATTATTTCTTCAACCATGTCCAATGTACTTGTAAGTCCATCAAGACATTCTTCATTTTTGATACATTGTTTTTTTTAATCTTTTTTACAATTTTTGATTTTTTCTTAGGATTTTAATCTCTCTTCTTACATTGCCCATCTGCTCTTATATGCTGCCTACTTACTCTGTTAGAGCCTATAGCTTAGCAGTCATAGTTGCTTTAAATTCCTGGTCTGATCATTCCAACATCCCTGTCATGTCTGGTTCTGAGACTTTTCTGTCTCTTCAAATTGTGTTTTTTTTTGCCTGTGTTTAGTGAGCCTGTGCCTCTGGACTGTGAACTTAACAAGTGTTCTTTAGTCATCCCCAACCTTAGAAGGGAGAGCACAGTTAGAGTGGGCAGCCTTTTACAGGGACACCCGTTTGACTTGCTTAATCACTGTTCTTTATCAAAAAGCTTTAACTTCCAATGAAGGATTTTGTTGATGAGAAAAGGCTTAATTCCACTTGTAACTCACAATGCCAACCTAGAACCACTATCGATCACTAACTAGTATTCCAAATGAATAAACATTTACAGATACATTTTATATTTTTAAAATTCTGGTCCTTTATCATTGAAGATGATACCTCCAATGTTGATTAGAATATGGGCAGTATAGAAAGAGTTAAAATAGTCAATACATGACCAAAAATTATACCCATGTCATGGAAAACATGTCTCTACATTTTTAAGAACTTGATGTTATTTGTTACATTTCCTTCTAAAATCTATAATGACCTAGACTTCTAGCCGCATAAAAGAATAAGCCCGTTATTCAGGGCTGCTGTGTAGACGTCTGGAGGAGGCCTTTTATTCTCAGTCACAATGGAGCTACAGTTCTGTCACATTGCTGGAAAGTTCATTTTAACATATCCTTGGTTCATATTTGTTCTTCTCTCTACTTGTAATTATCTCATCATATTAACATGCAAAATTAAAATGGGCAAGATGAGTGATTTTATGTGCACGTATATAATATGCAAATACATATGTATGTATATGTGTATTTATACCTATGCTATATATATTCACATCTATCTATCTATCTATCTATCTATCTATCTATCTATCTATCTAACTATCTATCATCTATCATCTACCTTTCTATCTGAAAATACTCACTTCCTCTTACAGGGAAAAAAATGTAGACACTAATATCTGAAGATTAATACCCTGGGGAGAATGATGAGAATGCTTTCTTGGAAAAACGATTCACATATTATATTTAAAGTACATTAAAACATATTCTCAAATAAAGTTAAACTCTTGAATTTTTAAATGATTTGATAATTGATTTAAGTGACATCTAAGCCAAATTTTATTCTAATATAGTAAGTTGAAGATATATTGGAAAAGGAGATACTATTTTCAAGAGTTATTAATTTAGATAAACACAGGATCTTACCAAAATTGAGTAGAGTCTAAAAGCAATGACGATTTCGTGCAGCTTAAGAATTCATGCAATCTATGCCAGGTGAGCACTACAGTGATATGCTGCTATATAAGATGGATTGTATGCAATACCTAGTTGTACAAAAAATATGTAAACATTTATTCTGCTCAAGGGCCTTTTAAAAATCTATTTGCAAATATAAAAATATTAGGACAGATATTGTGGGTTCCATCTTTTTGTCCTCTCGTAGCAAAAATCAAGAGACAAACTGAGGGGCAGCCCATGAACACACTGCAGCATAAGGGCTTCTCCAACTTCTGAGCCTTGGGCCACCTGACAGAGGACGCAGTTCCAACAGAGTGCTTGTTCTTCTGTACAATTCACGTGGGAACTGCGGACAAGCTCTTCAAGCACACATTGCTACACGGGCTTCCAGAACAGTGCGATGCTTTCTGTCGGTGATCATTAGTGTGATGCCCTCCCGTTCGGTGTCCCCTAGGACATCAACGAGATGCCGAGAGAGCAAAGCACCAGTGAGGGGATCAAAATTCTACTTCTCACTGGTTGCGGGTAGGAAGTTCAAGTGTCATACTGGGTTATAAAATGTTTTAAAATCACACCAGAAGGTTCTCTAAGGACTCTGTATATCTTTGGAACTGTTTCTCTTCAATTCAATGTATAGTTTAAAAAACATTTTGAATCATAACAACTGAGGTCAAGATCTAATATATTTCAATCTCTTAGCCTTACTTTTCAATCTCAGTACTATATAGATTTGTCATCCAGAAGGAAACTGTTTTCATAGATGAGGACAACTTTTAAAATGATTTTTTTAATGTTTTGAAATAAAGATGTTATTAGTTTAAAACTGGTCAATTTGACATAAAAATCATTGTCAACATTTATTAAGTGTGAAATCCTGTAGCATTTCAATAATATATCGGTCAATTATTGTATCATTTAATAATTCAATATACACTTCTGACATATTGATTTTTCACATGGTTATAAAAACAAAGTATTAATTAGAGTTTAATAAAAGCATTAAAATAATTACTTTAAATAAATATAAAATTAACAGAATTTGATTAGGGGGAAAAATTACTTGAAAATGATTCCATTTGTTTAGGTCTAAGTCAAGAAACCCTACAGTTGACAATTTAAAATACTGAGGTTTAATAAGTGATACAATTAAACCCAAAATATAAACATACCTAAATGATGACTTTGCTAACTGCTGCGATTTAATTTTTTTTTTTTTTTTCCAGGAGCAATCCCTGAGTAATTCATGGTCTTAAAGTCAACTCGTTCAAGATGAAACATGTAACCTTATCCTGTAGGATTTCATACTTTACAAATAACAGCGATAAAGCCTGTGATAGACTTAAAAACAGACCAAAGAGGCATTAAAGCTGTCCAAGCACCCCTTGGAGACAGTGCAGGTTTTGTTCCAGATCAAGGCAATAAAGAGACTATCTCCATAATGCGAGTCACACTAAATTTCTGGTTCAAGTTATGTTTATGCTACACTGTAGTCTACTAAGTGTGCAGTGTTATGTCTTAAAAAATGCACACGCTTTTTAATTAAAATACTTTATTGCTAAAAAATGCTAAGCATGATCTGAGCCTTCAGTGAGTCATAATCTTTTTACCGGTGGAGGGTCTTGCCTTGATGTTGATGGACACTGACTGATCCACGCTGTGGTTGCTAAAGACTGGGGTGTTTGTAGCAACTTCTTAAAATAAGAACAATGGTGTTGGCTGCACCAATTGACTTTTTACCCACAAATGAACTTTCAGAATTGGAGTCAGTTCTCTCAAATCCTTCTTCTGCCGTTATCAGCTAAATGTATGTGATACTCTAAATCCTTTGTTGTCATTTCAACAATCTTCACAGCATCTTCACCAGGAGTAGATGCCATCTCAAGACCACTTTCTTTTTTCATTCATTAGAAGCAACTTTGTATCCATTAGTTCTATCATGAAGTTGCAGTAATTCTGTCATATCTTCAGTCTCCACATTCAGTTATAGTTCTTTTGCTATTTCCACCACATCTGCAATTATTTCCTCCACTGAAGTCTTAACTCTTCAAAATCATTCATGGGTGTTGGAATCTACTTCTTCCAAACCCCATTAATGTTGATATTTTGACCTCTCTCATGAATGTCTCTTAATGACAGCTAGAATGGTGAATCTTTTCCAGAAGGTTTTCAATTTACTTTGCCAAGATCCATCAGAAGAATCACTATCTATGGTACTTACAGTCTCATGACATAAATTTCTTAAATAATAAAACTTGCAAGTTGAAAGTACTCTTTGGTCCATGGGTTGCAGAATGGATGTTGTTTTAT